TGATGCAGGTAAGAGCCCCTGAGCTAGGACCAGGATATAGCAGGCTGTTCCTTTTTGCTTAGCTTTTGGACAGGATAGGGATAAGGATGGTCCTTGGTTCGGGGTGTTTGGGCCTAGGGCTCTGAGGTTGCCATGAGGCCTGGCTAGCCTGTTACAATCTTTGGATGGTTTCCGTCAGCCATTTTGGGGCTGACTGGTTGGGTTAGGAACAAAATCTTCACTTAACCTGGGGCCCCAGGCAGATTCCCCGCCTTGGCCACAAAAACCAACACTCTCTTCCAAGTGTCTTTAAGATCATGTCTTCCATGAGCGCTCATGGCTTTCCTTTTCAATATGAGAAATAAGCATTCCCTACAACTAAGAGACATTCCTCTTTGTAAGCACCTATCTCCCCTTTCCTTGCCTTTTCCAGCAGAGACCCTCCACCCATTCCTCCACCTTTCTGTCTGCAGTTAAGGCAGAACCACTGGAAATGAATGGGATGACCAGATGCAGGAAGTACATCTCCCAAGGTGCTCAGTGTTTAACCCTCATATTCCTCCCATTCTCAGTTTTGCTCCTCACTGACTCGTAGTCATAGCTCCCAAACCTTGTCAGTTGGTAGAACACATAAAAATCACGGTGTTCTCTTTGAAATCTTCATGTATTTAATTCCCTCATATGGCAGTTTTATAGAGGAAATGGACCTGAATTTTCCATTTATATTTGTTGGCTACTTTTTTGTCCCTAGAATGTTCCCTAGAAACTTAGAAATTGAGGAAATTCTATCCATTAAAATCTGGGCACTAGGAGGACCATCACCACTCTGGTTTTTTGCTTCAGACCAATTCTTTCAGTCACAGATAGCTGGATTCAAAGGAGCACAGTCAGAAGCACTGGCCTAATTAGAGAAAAGGACAAATTCAGGCCTTGGTTCTGCACTGTTGCTTCAGTCTAAAGAGTGCTGTCACTCCACAGCCCACTGCAGAATGGGAGCTTTTAGGAGGCAAGGCCCTTATGGGGTGGTTTTCTTCTGCCCTCCTGGAACACTGGAAGAGCCCAGTACTGCTACATCTTCTTGAGATCCTGAGAGGGGAAGGTAGTGGAGGAACCCAGGATGTCATGGTGTCAGCGCAGGAAATGAATGTTTGGTAGGCAGTGCTTGCAGGGAGATGTAACTGCTGTATTTTAGCCCCAATGTCCATCCATGCCTATTGTTTTCTCTTTCAGCTTCGGCTTCATTAACGCCAGATTTCTTATCTCCAGGAAGTTCAAATGTCTCTTCTCCCTTACCTTGTTTTGGATCCTCATTCCACTCTACAACTTCCTTTGTCATTAGTGACATCACCGAGGAGACCGAGGTAGAGGTCCCTGAGCTTCCATCAGTCCCCCTGCTTTGTTCTGCCAGCCCTGAATGTTGCAAACCAGAACACAAGGCTACCTGCAGCTCGTCTGAAGAAGATGACTGCGTCTCTCTGTCCAAGGCCAGCAGCTTTGCAGATATGATGGGTATCCTAAAGGACTTTCACCGGGTGAAGCAGAGCCAAGATCTGTAAGTGTATTATAAGGAGCTGTGATGATCTGTTTATTGTTCAAGTTGCCTGTGGCCAATTATCTAATAGAAAGTACTTACATAGTAAGTCCTCAATAGTAGTCATGTGTTACTTCATTCACAAAGCTTGCTGCCTGCTTGCTAGTGCCTGGGTCCCCAGTTTGAGGAAAGAGCAACACTTTACATTTGGTTGGGGTGACCTAACCCAACCAAATGTTGTTAGACTAATAGGGATTTTACAAGAAGGCTCATCTAATCCAGCTTCTGTCCCCCAGAGGGGCTTCACCACTTCAGTTTTCATACTGCTAGTGACAAGTGTCCCCATGCCCCACCCTTCAAAACATAATTGCATAATAGTTATTTTAGTATCTCAAAAAAGTAGACTTATTTGGTGAAAGGAACATTTCCTTTAAACACAGTGGTCCATTATTCAAACCAGCCCTGCAAATTCAGAGATTTATGAACAAGGCTTTTGAGACTCCTAGGTAGTTCCTAAACCTGGCTGCCTATCAGAATTGCTCAGATTTATTTAAAAAAATATACCTTAAACTTAACAAAGCAGAACCCCCAAGGAGTAGAGCTCTAGGTGTTTCTGATGTCAGTGTAAGGGGATGTGGGAAATACCTACCATGAGAAACTCATCTAGCAGAGAAGCCCTAGAGCTCCAGCCTGAGGGAGTCACCACCTTGCAGTGTTTCCCTACCGCACAGGACATACCAGAAGAGCTTATTCAAATGCAGGTTCCTGGGCATTGAAATATTTGACATCCAGACCTCAAAATCCAGAGGCCAGATGTGCAGCTGTATTTGTTAATGCAGTTAAAAAGCTGTTTTGGGGGGTGGGGAGGTGAGGGCTGTCTCCTGAGCTGACGAAGTTCCTCTTAAAGGAATAGTGACTCACCTCGCACAAGGATCCTTTTGTGGCCCCATTTTCTTCTGAAAACTAGACAAGGGTCCTGGTAGTCGATTCTGTAGGAAAGTTACTTTTACCTTCCTTCTCTGGCCATACGGACCCGCAGTTCTTTGGTCTCCTGCATTCCCAAATTCTGCTGCTGCTGCTGCTGCCTTGGGGCCACACTGAGCCTTTTTCTTCTGGTCAATGTTTTATAGATTGGACTCTCCAACTTTCTTATACCTGCCTCTTGTACCATATTAGATCTGTGATCCCCTACTGCCAAGCCCTTTCTCTCACTTGTGTCCTGGGCCCTTTCCTCCTTTGTTGATAGAAGGAGCTGGGGGTTGATGACTAAGGAGCTGGCTTGATGACTAAGAACGGGAAAGTAGCGCCATCTTCAGGGTTCAGAAATGTGACAAACTGAAGGCAGTTCCTCTTTTTGTTTTCAAGGTTTAATAATCAATCTTGGCCTTTACATCTAGCATAATGACCAATAAAATGCTTTCATGAGGATGTATGTATGTAAGAGTTCACTAGAATTTCAAGCAACTATTTTCCAGGAAAATACCTGATGCTATCAGGTAATTTGAACCTACCCTAATCTGAAACTGGTTTTGTTCCCACGGGTCCCTTATGATGTGAACATTATACTATAAATTCTGGATTGCTTATAAAAAACCTCTCAGTTTCCCTGACAGGGAGACGAGGTAATAGTAAATCCTCAGCACACCTTTTCCCCAGAACGAATAAATGTCAGAAAAGCCAAGAGTCATCAGTCATTTCCCCTGCTGACCTGGGGAAATGCTGCTAAGAAAAGATAGGGCCAGAAGGTGGGAGCAGAAGCTTAGCCACCACAGGCCAATACCAACAGGTTTGCCCACATTTTGTAGCCATTTTAGGAAACAGCAAAGCCATGTCTAGTTAAGAGATGAGATTTGTAACCAGCAAGCTTGGTTTTGAACTGTGGATTCACCACTTACTGAGTGACTAATGACTTTGGGTAAATTCATAACCTCAATGTGCTTCAGTTTCCTCATCTGTAAAAGGATTGTAGTAGCTCCTACCTCATAAGAGTGTTGTGAGGATTAAATGAGATTGTATTCCAACACACAAAACACTGCCCAGGGCAGAGTAAGTACTCAATAAATACAAGCTATTATTGTGTCTCTAGGAACCGGAGTTTATTGAAGGAGGAAGACCCAGCCCTCCTTATCTCTGAGGTCCTAAAGAGGAAGTTTGCGCTGAAGGAAGAAGATATCAGTAGAAAAGGAAACTGATGGCACTCAGCTCTGCAAACTCAGTCTCATGCTCCTGGAATTCTTTCAATAGCTGCCTTCCTCACTGCAGATGTTTCTGCCTCTCAATTAGAAATCTTCTGCAACAGTCTGGCCAAAAGCTAGAGCTTGGACTAAGAGAAGAGCTGCATTATATGTTTTCTGTACTTCAAACCTTAGCAGAAGCTGCCTGTTTTGAGCTGAGACACGTTACAGGTAATTGTGTAGGTTGGAATGTCCCAGTTTAAAGGGTGAGATAGAAGTTTCTGGTTTTTCCTTGCCCCTGTGTGAAAACAGGTCCTAAATGAATGACTGACTTCACTGCACTAGACCCCATAACTGGTCTCACTGAACACTTTGTGCCCAGCTGTCACTTACTCTCAGCCAGTTCCTTGCAGCAGAGCAGGGCTGAGGGGAGGGGGCTATGTTTATGTACATGTTCACAGGGCAGGGAAAATCTTATGCTGCTCCATCATGAACTGACACCAGTGCCCAGCAATCACTCTCTCCCCCTTCTCTGTCCAACACCTACATGTAGAGGTCAAGCCACTGGACCAGCTGACACTTGGGCTACTGGGAGGCCTGGGCTGTTTTTTCTTAAATATATTTTGTAATACTGTACAACCAAATCTACCCTCCAAGGCCCTGGGCCCTCATTGGTTCCACTAATTGAAAGCTCTTTCTCTTCCATGGACTTTAGTGTAAGTCCAATAGGAAAGAGAAATGGAGATGGGAAAGAGAGTACCATCCTTCTTCCAGGCCCTTGACTGCTCCTTTGCATTGGGCCAAGGTTTGTACCTACCACACCATGCATGACTCAGATGCCCTCAGGTCCCTTTTCTCTACAGTATGTATCCTGTGTGTGTTTGGGTTGAAGCACTACCTGACATTAAAGGAAGGATTTGGAGAGAGATTGCATTTGCTGTGTCCATCTCTGAGTCGTGAGCACCCAGTATCTCCCACAGGTATAGAATTTCTATTAATTTTAAGGTATATGAACTTCTTTAAACAGGTTCCTGGCTTCCCCTTGCCTTTAGAAGAGAAGGCTTCCCTAGGGAGCTTCTTATCTCTTTCTTTACAGAGAGATTTTGCCCTAACCTTTCAAAGCCGGTCCCGTCTTATAACTTGCAAGCTTGCCCCCAGAGGCTTATTTTTAAGCCTCTTAGGTACCACACCTGCAACATGGGAAACTGCCACCTAGTGGATGTCTTGAGTAGGACACAAGTCAAATTAGACTTGTGTTCAGCTCAGACCCATGGCAATGACAGCAGAGTTGCGTTTTCAAAAATAAAATTGGTAAGTTTTAATTACCAGCAGAGCCAGCTTTGTAAACATTTATTTGGATTCATAGTTTTACAATAGGAGTTCTCTCCCACCTTGTAGTAGAAGAATGATATAGTCCCATTTAGATCGTTATATAGGTCAGCCTTTTTTAGGGAGATGTTTAAACATATAGTATATAACTTTAAAATGCTGTAAAGTTACCACCAAAATAAAATAACAAAACTACCTAATCATCTACCTCTCTCTCTATCCTCCCTGCCCCTGTACACCTGGGTCTGGGCGATTTGCCTTATCACTCAAAAGAGTGTCAAGAATAATGGTCACAGCTTAGGTCGCATGGGTAGGATTACAGCCAGAGATTAAAAGAAAGACCACACATCCATAAAAAGCAGTATCCCAGTCAGGCATCTGAAAGGGCAAAGAGGTGGCTCTGTGCAGGCTGAGTAGCAGGCTCTTCAGTGGAGAGATGAGCACCTGCCCTGCCTCCTCAGTGTTCACCATAGACTCATGCAGGGAATATACCAGCCACCTCCTCCTCAGGGAGGGGCACGATGCCAATCGTACTGTCTCAACAAGCGGCCACCTGCTTTATTTACACAAAGAAAATGCTCAATAATAACAGCATCATCCCATGCCTCCCTCCCACCCAAGATCATTCTCCTGAATGACCTTTCTAAAACAAAGATCTTACATTCCCCTACTCCAATATACTCACCCCCTGAAGATACTTTCTTATATGTCATTTCAAGGTACTTTTGGAACCAAACCCTCACAAAGACATTTAGACTTGGTGCCTGATAACTTGATTACCTTCAGAGTCCTGGGTAAAGAGCAAATCAGTCTGCAGATTTAACTGAGTGGTCCTAGCCTGGCACTGAGCCCAAGGGCTGTTAGGAAGCTGTCCTAAGCCCTGATTTCGGTCATTGGTTACATCTCGGAAAGGAGCTCTAGAGTTGTGGGCAATGACCCTCTGGCCCTGAGAATCCTGGGTGAAAAGCTGACTCCAGGAGTCCTTGTCATTCTTTTCGCTGTCCCAGGAAAACACAGGAATAGGACAAGGGCTTTGTTTCACTGCTTCTTTGTTTGCTCCACTCCAGGAATCCTGGTATGTTTGAAGGAGGATGGGGGCCTGCCTGTTTCTTTTGGCGGACACCTTTTCCAAGTTAGTCTTATCCAAGAGCTGATGGCCCTTGTGCCCAGGTGTTTTACTGTGTCTTTCCACATTCTGATAGTTCTTTTTCTTAGATCCATAAGGCCATTCCCTTTTCCAGGAAGAATCCTCTTCTTCCTTTTGGTCCAGTAAGCAAGAACTCTCCAGGTCTTGGGTGAAGGAACAGGCCAGCGATGCTTTACTCTCTCCAGCACAGACAAAGGTATCAGGCTGGAACAAAGACAGCACAGTCACGCATGGGCTTCCTATTCCATGGTGGTAAGAAGCCTGGAAGGACTGAGGAGAAAGTCTAGCTTCCTGGATGTCTGCAGGGGTTGAAGTGGCTAAAGGGGGTGCCATGCAATCATCCCCCAAGCCCTGGATCAGATGGTCTAGCTGGGTTGCATCTTCCTTCGACTCTTTGTTGGTCTGACTTTCTATATGAGACGAAACACTCCTCTGGTCACCACCATTTGTCTTTCCTAGTAAAACAAGACGAACAAATGTTATTCTGCAGGAAAACTCCACCTGAGTAGGATTTAGGTGGCTTTTTCTGAAATCAGTATCAGCTACCATAACTACTAGTGCAGGGGTCTTAGGACTCTTCACAGATCTTTGTAGCCGATCTTCCTGCTTTCAATCTCTTTCTTTTCTTTCCTGAATGATCTAAAACACAGCTCTTATATTCCCCTACTCAAATATATAGATGCTTCCCATGACCTACCTAATAAAAGTCAAACATGTTATACAGTCAGACTACAGCCTACTTTTCCAGTTGAGTGGGGTTTGTTTAACATAGGCCACATCAGTTTTGCTTTTGTTTTTTATTTAACATAGTTTCTGCTAAATAGTGATCCTGGCCAAATATCACCCCTGGATATTATCCTTTGAGAAACACGTTCAATATACACCATTTTTGTAAAGTCTCAAAGATCACATTGACCAGCCAACGCTGAGAAACCTTCTGGTGACAGTGAGAAAGAATATGGGTCTCCTACTCCCCAAAAATTTCATGGGAAAGGGAGTAAAGACACAATTAGATGCTAAGTCCATCAGTAGAAAGGACAATTAAAAAAACTATTACTGTCCAGCCTGTCTACTTTATCAGGTGTGGAATGGATCCTGTCTGCCTTAAAGATAGATGACGTGGAATTCCTACTCCCCCCCACCACCAAATTATGCTAAGATCTAATTACAAACAAGGCTGAATGACTGATTTCTTCTTTCCTTTCCAAGAAATACACTACAGAAATTGTTTTGTAAAAGCGTTCTCAACTGGCCTAAGACTTCAATACAGACTATGTAGAAAATATCAGAATTTTGAAATGGAAAGTGGTTTTGAGAAAAATCTGCCCTTGTTACTTAAAGCAAAAGAGTTTAAGTTTTTGTTTGTGGTAGGGAGAAGGCATTTTGAAGGTTTATGCAAAGCAATCCTGGGAACGGCACCAAGAGTTAGAGCTCTCTTCCCAGCACCCTTCAACTGGCAAGAACCCTGCTCTGTAAGCCCCAGCCTGGTCTGAGGCAGCTGGTCCCCTGAAGAGGAACATGCAAACAAAGAATTGCCAAAGGATGATGAAACACAAGCCAACTTCATGCCAAGCTTTCTAAGAAAAAAGCTCTTTTGAATTGTGATTAATTTGAGAAGCTTCATATAGACATATCAATTATCAATTAATCTTATACAGACTGCTAATTGTGGCCAATCCAAGACGTATATCTTACTAATGGCACATCAGCTCCCCTCTGCACCCCCAACTCCCAAGTATGCCTTTCCTCACTGCTCTGTCAGGGAATACCAATATTTTTCTGGTTCTGTTTAGACTGAGATAAACAGAACCAGAAAAGTATGTTTGTAAAAGTATGCATATATTGCTTTCCAAAAGACGATGCTTTCTTGTGTTTTAAAACATCTAATAGGTCAGCTAAGTTCAACACAATGCACTAATGGCACCACTTCTCATAGATATTCCAGCATGGAAAAATGAATGCACTCCCTTTTGGTCCCTGGTTGTTTCCAGTCCAGTCACCATACCTGGCTGCAAGGTGAAGAAGGAAGCAATGCTGGTCTGCCGGGTGCCTGCAGGTGGACGACTTCTTTGAGTAAAAGAAATGTTAGCCTTTCTCTCTCCAGGAAAGAGTGTTAGCATTTTGGTACTTGACTTGATTAAATGTGTCTGAGAAGGGGGAGAAAAAGAATAAGAGAAACCTATTCATATCAAAACAGCTGCCAAAAAAAAAAAACAGCTGCCAGACAGGATTCAGTAAACACCAGTTACCCTCTTGGAAACACACTAGACCTCTTGGATTCGACTCATATCCTCTAGTCTTTGCTGTACATCGCCTTCCACCATTTTCTGCCAACTGATAGTGTTTGTTTTTCCTCAAGAATCACATATTCCAACCATAGCCCATTCTTTCTGCTTCCCCATGGAAATCAGGCAGGCTGACTAAACAAACAGGAAGGGATTCCACAGGTGATATTATTCTCTCCTTTATATTTAAAGATAATTAATGAAACTAGGGACCTCTCTGGCAGTCCAGTAGTTAAGACTCTGTGTGCCCAATGCAGAGAGCCCGGGTTTGATCCCTGGTCAGGGAACTAGATCCTGCATGCTGCAACTAAAAAAAAAGATCCCGCGTGCCGCAACTGAAGATTGTGCACACAGCAACGAAGATCCCGCGTGCAACTGAGACCTGGTGCAGCCAAATACATAAATAAGTAAATAACTTTTTTTAATAATAGATAATTAATGATTCTACATCAGTAGCAGTTGATACATTTTTAATAGTTTTCAAATAGTCACACAGTGGTTAACAGCATGGCTCCTGAGTCACACAGCTTCTGTTCAAACCAGTACCAATTCTGCCACTGCCAATTACTAGCTGCATGACCCTCTAGAAGTTGTCTGATCTCTGTCTCATTCTCATGTGTGAAATGGGCACAATAATAGTACCAAGCCCATAGGGCAGTTACGAGGATTTGGTGAGTTAATTCACATAAAAGGCTTAGAAAGTTCTGGCACATATACAGCATTTAATAATAGTTGGCTATTATTCAGAGGAGGAGCAATGAAACAGCAACAGTCTTACTACATTTTCATCTCCCCGCCCTTTATACTTCGAGTATGAACTGGAAGATGGGCCAGAAAGGTTTGGAATGTGTCAACTTTTATACCTTATCCTTATTTAATGTAATTTGGTTTTGTTTCCATTTGCTTGTTATGGAATGCTTGAGAAGTAGGGAGAATAGGATTATATTCAATTCAATTTGGCTGTGAAAGCCACAGAAGAAATGAGATTTGCCAATACCCATGTACCAAGTTGGAAGTAGGCCTGAAACTTGAACCCAAATTATTAATTCTAGCCCAAAGTTGACTTCATTTCATTTTTACATTTGGAAACTAAAATGTACTTTAAGTGGTTAAAAGATGGAAGAAATTCTGGACGTAAAATTCATACTTTGACTCGGAGTACTGGTATGGAACATTCTCTTCCACCATACAAAACTGGATAAAATACATGAAACAACTGATTTTAGACAATGGATAACAGGCAGTGCAGAACTGTGATCCCCAAGAGCAGGAAAACAAATGAGGTGAACCCTGGGACACCCTAGCTTTCTGCTTGGAAGCACTTGTCAGAATGCAGTGTATACAGAGAGTACTCAGGCAAAGCATTGCAGTCTTGATAAACTGAGTAGACTGAGATTGGAATTTGGGGAAGATAAGGTGGCTGGGATTTGCAGTGCAGAGAAATACATCCAGAAATCTACATAGAGATCCCTTGTCCATTACTGAATACTAACCTACAAGTGTGTTAGGTGAAACCCCGTGAGGCCAGACAAAGAAATGCCAGGAACTGCAAGATGAACAATTCCCAGAGCTCACACAGGGCTGGGAGAGTTCCCACTAGGCAAAGTGGAAAGACCTTTTTAATACCAGTGGCATTCAGCAGAATTAGCAGAAGGATCACCCCTTAGCAGTAGAGCTAAACTAGCTGCAGAGCAAAAACTTCCAAACCTGTCCTAACAAAGCTTAAAAGCAAGCTTGATTAGCAAGTAACTACCTGCCGAAACAAATTTCAGAATCTTTAAAGACAGTAAAATCCAGATACCCAGCAATGTAGCACACAACAAAAAATTGCTAGATATGTGAAACAGCAGGAAAACAATCCATAATGGGGGCTGGCGTGGGGGATCGGTTAAATGGAAACAGAGTCAGAAATATCAGGGATGACAGAATTAGCAGACAAACTTTACAATAAATATGCTCAAGGATTTAAAGGAAAACGTGAAAATACTGAGAAAAAGAACATACAAAAAATTCACTAGATGGGCTTAACAACAGATTAGAGACTACAGGAAAAAAATAACAGTGGACCTGAAGTCACAGCAATACAAACTATCCAAAATGAAGCAGAGAGAGAAACAAACTGAAAATAAATTCTTAATGGTCTGTGGGGTATCAAGCATACATATAATGAGAATTCCAAAAAACAAGGTGAAAGTGGGCAGAAAATATACTTAAAGAAATAATGGCCCAAATTTTTCCAAATTTGATGAAAACTACAAACAACTGTGATTGTCTTTTTCAAAGACCAATTCAAAGGCAATTCAAACCAATACAAGATCTCCCATTTCACATGCTTTTCTTATAATTTGCCCTTGCTACTCTTCCCATCAAGTGGTGAGTCATATTCCCTTACCTTGAACTGGTGAAGAACTTTGTGACTGCCAGACCAATAAAGTATGATAGAAGCAACACTACATGATTTCCAAGACTGGGTCATAAAAATGCCATGCACTTCTCTGCCTTGCTTTCTTGAGATGCTCACTCTTGGAACCAGGCCCCCATGCTATGAGGAAACCCAAGCAGGCACATGGCTCTTTAAATTGTATGGGAGACACATCCTAGATATGTGAAATAATGTGAGTTAGTATGCCAACAAGTATCTATAGGCTAGGTACTAGGAAACAGTAATGAACAAAACAAGTGTTTCTGCCCTGATAAAGCTTACAGCTTAAGGGGGAAAACAGACAAACTAGTAATAGTTATTTAAATTACTACATGTATGCTAAATCCTATAACGACAACTTATAGAAAACTACAGATTATCGGAAAACAGTTAAGACCTCAATTAGCAAAACGTCTGGGAATAAGCTTTTTACCAAATTGGCCATACTTATCAGGATTAGACTCCATCCTTGGGTCAGAGCGATGTCAGAAGTAATACTGCCCCAGATATAGACCTCTCAGAAAATCCATGGCTTCAAGTATTTACATTTATCTCAGTAGAATGTTAAGACTGTGAGTGAGAGGAGGTAATCTGGAACTGAGGAGGGCCCAGGTACAAAGCCCTTCAGCTGATTATCCCTACCTCAAAATAAAGGCAGGCCCTGTATGTACATTACATAGTATAAGAAGGCCTATCTAATAGGCATCGGGTTCCTACAGGACCAAACCCCATGGTAAGCCACAGCCTACATATTGACAATTTTTACCCTACAAGAATGCCCTGAAGAACCTAACTTCAAGAGGCACATTCCCTCCAAAACTAAAGAATCTATAATCCTTTGGTATATCACATTCATGGCCCAATCGTTTTCTTCTTTCATAGTGGTAGAAGGAAAAACTGACTTCCTACAACTATGGAGCTCCTGCTACTCTTGCTATATTACAAGGATCCCCTATGACGTGTTCCTACAGAGAATGATGCTTTGGGGTGGGGGGGGCAAGGATTACCCCAAAAGTGATCCTTTCTTATACTCACAACTCTAGTAGCAAAGCAAATCTGGGATCATATACATCACCTCTCTTACTATTAGAAAATGTTTTCATGCCCCCATAGCATTTAAATTCTGTAGAGCCCTCATTCTATCTTCAAGTTTGTCTTAAAGCTCTACTTTTTTTTTTTTTTGCGGCAGGCGGGCCCCTCACCGCCGTGGCCTCTCCCGTTGCAGAGCACAGGCTCCGGATGCGCAGGCTCAGCGGCCATGGCTCACAGGCCCAGCCGCTCAGCGGCATGTGGGATCCTCCCGGACCGGGGCACGAACCCGTGTCCCCTGCATCGGCAGGCGGACTCTCAACCACTGCACCACCAGGGAAGCCCTTAAAGCTCTACTTTTAAACCAATTCCTTTTTTTGATTCATACGGTCTTCAATCCTGTTATATAATTTGATCCAACTTCCTTTTTTTTCATAATGATTACTCTGGTCTTGAATCTGTGTATGAAGTATCACTTTCCATATAAAGTGACAGCTTTGAAATACAAGAATGTGTGTATTTAGTTCTTTTTGCCATGCTACCTCTTCCTTTATGCTTCCCAGGGCCCATACTCATCTTTTCCCACTTCTAGAATCACAGAAAGCAACATCAAGTCCCCCCTTCCTCTTTAGTCTCTCACAGCACTAATTTGATGACATTCTGAATGAAAACCTTTTCCCATTAATCACTATCATGCCTCATTCAAGTCAGGCTGAAAGGATGATACTACCTAATAAGAATGCCCTAAGGAGGATTGTTTAAGGAGTCTGACCAAGAAAATCTGTCTGAATTCTCATCATCGCCAACAATAAAAATCACCTCTGTTGAATTAGTAACAAAGTATTAATTCAGAACTTGCTTCAAACTTTCCAAACCCTCAAAAAAAAATAATACATTACCCTAGTTCAGAATTTCATAAACTCCATAGTCCTAGACTATTAGAATAACAGTCTCTTGACTGGTCAGGCCCCCATTTACTACCTGTTTCAATCAGTCCCATACCCAACATCTAGATAAATCTTAAAGCACAACTGTGATCATACCATCTTGTTCTGGCAAGAACCTATAGCATAAAATGTAGACTCTTAGACTGCCCACACTTATACGATTTCAGCTTCCTTTTTCTCCATTACCAAAAACCCTTTATGCACACTCTAACATAATACTCAACTAGATACCAGTCCCTATTATGGACTTCACCTTCCTCACTTCTGTGCCTCACAGAGAAGGGCCTTTTTCACACTCAACTCTGAAATGTTACCTATTCTTCAACTTAAGAGCCAAGCATTCCTGATTCTCACAGCTAGATGTGACCTCTTCCTCTTCTGAACTCGGTATTTCAAGACTTACACTACAAAATCCTGGGATCAACATTTGATTCACATACTTTTTTCCTATCCTCCACACAACC